GTTGAGGCCAACTAGACAATGTTTAGTTTTTTGAATTCAAGCAAATGACCTACCCAAAAATGTCTTAATACTATCATACAGGTGATGACCAAAAACATCTGACTCTTCCTTTGCCATGTGGACAGAAAAAGGGCTCAAAGTGACACCAGTACAAGCTAGGTGTCTACCTAGTAGATGTAAGACCAGAAGGACTTACTGGAAGTTACTGAGCTCTCCTCTCTCTGGAGACTTTGCAAAAGAATTTACATAAAACATCTATTTTTAGAGCACTGCTCTAATAATTACTGAGAAACAGAAGGTTTATTTTTGTCTTTTCTGAGACGGCTGTCCAAAATAGCCATGACTAAGGACTACAAATAATGTTGCAGGGTTCAAAATGGTATGACATGATGAAAATTAAGTGTTCTGTATGCGTATCATTTCCTTGGAGCTGAGGTGCAAATAAGATTTGAAACTATTTGATACATCCGCTCACTGATCTGATGTGAAAATGCTGTTTCTAGTTTATTTAAATGGACTGTTTTTAATTTTAGAACAAGCTATGAGATTCATCAGCCTAGTCCAGTTTCAGTCTGCACAGCCTCAAAACCATATGCAATGAGACAAAGAACGAGACAAAGAATTAAGTTAATAAGAAACAACTAACACGACTAATAAATGACAACTGGAAATAAAATAAACTAATAGAGATTTGCACAAATCCACAGCTGTGCATTTGCATACACAAAGCCATGACAAAGAAATTTAAAAGGAGCTGTTTTAATGTGAAGAAGGTTGAACCTGTGTCCACAGTATTTAGAAAATAAACAAAATTTAACGACAACAATTACACGTCTATGAAATCTTAAATAAACCTATTTTAAAAAACGGAACATTTCGAGTCATATTTTGTCTGCAAATATCCTCATTCTTCTGAACACTTTGTGTCCTCTGGTAAAGCATAATAAAAAGGTTGCACTGATTTGAAAGTGTGACTGCTTTGTTTCCCAGCAATGACCTTGTACGGACACATAACAAAATTACACACTGTCTGATTTCTGTTGGATTTTTGTTTCCTCCCATTGCTGACACATATCACATCTTTAGTTTCTAGGAAGAAGCTGAAAGTCTGATAAAACTGTGTTCATAATAGGACACATGCATTATTTTGCTACAAATTGTGTGTGTGCCCGTGTGTACATTTATCCTCCTGAACAGCTCTCTGTGGGAGACGATGTGTTTCTGAGAAGTGCCTGGAGTCTTTTCATAGAAACCGAATGAGAGGTCAGTATCATGTCCGAGGCCACCTGTGGGTTTTCACTGTGACTTCATATCCAATTCCTCCAACGAATTACCAGAAAAGACAAACGCCCTTAGTCACCCCTCGACTTGTTGTGCCTCAGATCACCAGAAAATCACAGTTCTGTGATCAGCACAGTATATAATATACTTTGTGTACCCCGAGTATCAATGTACAGCAGGAGCCTATATTATCATTATATCAATGTTTATATTAATATACAGAACTTCCCACACTAATACACAGCATCCCAAATATGCTTTTAAAGGCATATGGCGTTGAATTCACAATTCAGGAGATTGAAACCCCTGTCTACATCCAGAAACAAATTTCCAAATATGCCTGTTTCTTCTCTGTTTTAATGACTTAATCAAAAAGGCTGCAGTAGTCATGTGAGGGTACATCTGTGTTTAGCTGAAGAAGAACTTTATACATTCTTACAACAGGTGTGTGTTGTTATTATAGGCTTAACATTGTGATCATTTGTACAGGTGTAGGGGTTAGAGACTGTGTACCTCAGCCTTGCGAGGTGGTCTGCCTCCTAGGCTGCATGTATTGCGAGCCACACACATCCCTTCTATAATGTTGTATAATAAGGAAGTTGGAGATGAGCTGCTGACGTGGCCCACAAGCAAAATTTTATCAATCTTTACGTTATATCTTATAGATGAGTTGTTGGTCAACTGTATATGACCAGTTAATCTAAAATGCAGTATGCTTTCCCCCCCATCAACATACCGGTAGTCATGAGTGTTCAGTTGATGTGGGTGAGCTAATGATGCAGATGAATCTTTTAATTATGCATAATTAAAATAATTTCCAATTCAAGGGTGTCCCTTGAAGCTCCGCAAAGTAGAGATGATGACGTCCATACAACATGGTGAGAACAACAGCTGAGGCATCGTTTCCTGTGCATGGTGTTACCTTGAGCAAGATAGCTGAAGCAGTTGTAAATGGGTTTTTAAATATAAACCACATGGAATTGTGTACTTTTTGATTGATTGAGAAATATGTACTCTTATGTTGATATTTCTTCTACAGCATCATACTCACATTTACAGTGGATAGAAAAAGTCTACACACCCCTGTTAAAATGCCAGGTTCTTATGATGTAAAGTAACGAGACAAAGATAAATCATGTCAGAACTTTTTCCACCTTTAATGTGACCTATATGTGAACAATTCAATAGAAAAACAAACTGAAATCTTCGAGGGGGAAAAATGAAAAATAAAAACCCTGTGTGTTTGTGTTTAAAAATCATGTCAGCATATTCTGGACATAAAATATGTTTCATGAGGTTCTCAGACTGACAATAAGGTGATAATATAATAGCCTCTGTTATTGAAGCTCATGGCTCAGCCACAACTGGTGTTTTCACCTCTCAGGACTGTGTGGGTGTGCACAGACAAGCTTGATTAACACCTTCCAAGTCCCTGTGTTCATTCTGTTAGGGTGCTACAACTCAAAATCTTTCCTCCCAGGACAACTCCAACCAATGCCAATCTGGAAAGAATTCAGCTTCTCAGGAAGCAGCTGTGGGAAAGAGACCGGATTTTGCTCCGGACTTAAACTTTAAACCACAGCTAAACTCATGATATAGCAACAACCGCTCTTCTGATAGGACGCACCAATAAAGCACATTATAAACATCAATGATAAAAGCCTTAAAAGGCAACAGCACCTAATGTTAAGGTCCTGTCTTAATGATATTCTTTTATTAAGACTAGATAAAACACCAATCAAATCTTTTTGGTGCCTCTCTCCTACCAGTCCGTTTAAAGGGTCAGTTCACTCAAATTACTTTAAAAAATAATTTCCTCTTACCTCTGGTGTTATCTATTAGTGCAGAATGTTTGGTTTTGTTTTTCCAGGTTTGGTTATATCTGGTTCTGAGATTCCTGCATCCACAACATGAATTTAAAATTAATTTGTGAACCAGACCATGTAGTTGTAGAAGTTGTTTGATGATATTATCATTTGAACAAGTAAAAACAACTCTTAAGTATATGAGTGATATGTGATATCTGATGTTCATTCATTCCTTCATCAAGACACATAGTAAGATAAAATGTTGGTCCATTATTTGCGGATTGCATAAGGTGTGTGGTTTTAGATTGTCCCCTGTGTTTCCTCAGTGGATGCAGCCTCACTGATGGTTAGTGAGTGCAGGCAGGGAGCTGAAGAAGAAGGGGAAATAGGAGGGAAGAGGTATCAACACAGAGTAAAGGCTGTGCCAGGCAGCTGCTGTATTTTTTCTCCTGGGGGATTAGCTAAGGTTTCAGGGTGACTGAGAGGACACTAAGCTGATAGCTAAATAGATGGACATGGTGTCTAACTTTCAGTGAAAATCAAAGCAGGAAGTTTCTTTTAGATAGTTATGTTCCAGACAGACTTGGATGCTGTAGAAGTGACAAGTTTTATCTCCTTTCTGAGAAAATGGTGTTAAAATATTAACATTCTCCAGGGAACATCCTTGTTTTTCAAAGAAGCTGTCACTTGATGCACTTCATACTAATCTTCATTGTAGTTTTAGCAGTTGCTACACAAAAATAGCAACATAAATTTTATACTGCCAGGACATATGTATGGAAGCCCTAACCTCCATTAAATATTTTTCTTACTCCATTTTCCTGTGATAACGGGACAATAGCATAACACAGGGGTCAGCAGGAGCATTTCTTAAGGATAATTTCAAAAGGGTTTCTTATGTCACTGGTTAGCTCAGTTGGTAGAGCATAGGATGCTTAGTCAAAGGGTTGTGTGTTGTATCCTGACTGAAAACCAATTTTTTTCCTTTTTATCTTTTTCATAATCCTTTTCAACAAGGTTCTTATGAAGAGACAGTTTCACATGCTCACAATAAAGCATATGCTGGACTGTGTGCATCCCGGCGATTGGTTCACATCCATCAACCTATGGACTTTTCATTCACCCACAGAAGAAAAACCCGTGTTTCTCATTCAGGGGAATCCATTTATGTTTACACATTCCCTGTAGGCTATTTCAGAACCTTTGGAATGGCCATCGGGAAGTTTGTGATTGGATTCCTCTGAATCTCTTCATAACAACTTTGCTGAAGAGGATAAAAAACACATAAAAGAAAAAAAAACATTGAAAGCAGGAGTTGAACACACAATCTTTAAGTTAAGTGTCCTTTGCTCTACCAACTGAACTAACCAGTGACACTGAAAATCTTTCTGAAATTATCCTAAAGAAATATGTACCTGCCGACCACTGTGTTCAGCTGTGGTGTGTTATCTCGAGAAAATTCTCCTGAGATCACAGGAAAACGAAGTGAAAAAAGTAAAGTGCCACTTTAGAATGTCACTGCCAATGAAACCTTTTTACCTCATGATTTTCTGTTTACCATCACCTACAACTAACAGTCCATGTCCTTTGTACATTGCATTTTGGCAGAATAATGTACATTAATGGCACACACAAAGAATTACAGAATTTAGTTTGCATTCTGTCTGTTTTGAGTACACTTAAGAGTCGCTTTTCTTGTGTGAACACATTATTTACTGACACTTGAGCTAAATGCTAAAGTCCGCATGCTAACATGCTAAACCTAAGGAAGCATGTTTACCATGCTAACCATCAAAGTTTAGCGTGCTAGCATGCTATAATTTGCTAATTAGCAGGCCTACTTTACACCAAGTACAGCTGAGGCTGATGGGAATGTTCGTTTTGCAGGTATGACAGGATGCAGCAGGGGAATAAACTTTGTTCATAGTCTTTTTATTGAACAGAAGAAAAAACTCAAAATGATTGTATTAAACTGTGGTTCTTCATGTTAAAGCATCGAGGCTTATCACTAATAAAGTGCACTTTCAGTTTACAGCCAAATGGAGACACAAGCTCATTCAGATCCCACCTGGTGCAGGACTCTCTGCACCTGAGCTCTCAAAGGTAGAACACTGTCACAGTAAGATATACAAGACCAAGTGCAACGACTGAGTGTCTCAGTGAGGGCGAGTGCATAAGTGATAATGGAAGATCGTTGCGTCTCTTTCCTGTCTCCCGGGTCTAAAATGTCTCAGACCATCCCTGCTACTGTATCCTATCCTGGCTCAGTTCAACCCAGTAAAAGCAATAATATGACAAACGATGACTTCTGCACAAATGTGACTGATTATGTAATTGAGTGATTGTAAAATAACAGTATTTCTTAACAGGGTTTCATTAATGGTCAGCATTGAGCTAAAATCTTTGAGTGTCTTTACATTTTAAGATCTTTTACTTTAAAAAAATATTTTTCCTATTTCCAGAAGTGTTTTTCTACATAATATATATGTACAGTTGTATCTTTACAAAGAAAATAATGTTCTGTTAAAGACTGTTGCAAGGTCAGTATAGACTCCAGTTTGGCACGTATTCCTTGTGACTTCACCCAGTAACAGACTAAATGGAAGAGACAACATAAAAAAGTGCATTCAACACCCGGTTTCACTATTTTCACTTTAAATTCTGCCTCTCCTGAAAAGACACAGACACTAAGCTAGCAAAATAATCCTATTCCTACCTCTTATTTAGAATGAGATGTGTTTGAAATGGTAATTCCTACGATGTGCAACAAATAGGAAATGTCATTCACTTGAAAACATGTTTTTTGATGTTGCACTATTCGACAGGGCACGGCCACAAACCCTGGGGAATGGGCCACAGAGGAAAAACATCTACATTACAAGGGATATGAATTAACAGTTAAGCTTGCATTTTAAGTCCATGGGATTTAGGATTCCAACGTGCTACATATGACACAAACAATTTCCGTTGTCAAAGCCAAGAGAAAACTCCTAAGCTGTACTTCAACATGGGAATGAAAAAAAAAGAGAGACATTGCCATGTAAGGTTACAAAAAAGATGAAACATTGTAGCCAACTTCCCAGGAGGTAGTGTGAATTGCACGTGGTAAAGGGGAGCATTTACTTTAATATCACAAGCACACAGCACTGGGAAAAGATCAGCTGCTAAGAAACATATCTACTACTAACATTTAAATATACTTCATATTAGTCTCACTGGGAAATTAAACTGATAACTAAATATACTTCATATTAGTCTCACTGGGAAATTAAACTGATAACTTTACCTCTTATTGCACCATTTCATTAAACGACTGGGCAGTACTGGATTGTGTCTCACTTGCATCGTATTATTCTGTATCTAACATGCAAACTACAAATTGAAACTGACAAAACTAAATTTTTAGACAAATTTTCGTTGCCATATCAAGTTGTGTATTACATACACCATGTCCTCCACACTGAGAGCTTAGACATAAGGGGTTTAACACACAAAGCTCTAAAAAGAGCCACATTACACACACACACATTCATTATCTACCAGTCTGCATTACAAATTTCAGTAATAAATATGGTACGTTCAATAAATAAGGGGTGGTTCTATCAGAATAAGATTCAGCTGATTTGAATGCCGATCCATTTGAAAGAGAAAAGTGCAGGATTTCCTTTCATGTGTAGTGTTAGCGCTTTTGGCTCATTTGCATTAAATGATAAAGTATTGATCATATCTGGTTAGGCGAACATGAGTTGTCACAGCGGACAGACAGCAGCTCACAGAGTGATTCTCTATGGGACAAAACAACCTCTATACGCTCAACAGTTTAAGTTTAGGTAGTTTCCAGAGTGTGGCTCCTCTCTAATCAATGCTCAGATATTGCTTCCACTGGAAAAGCATGAAATCTCTCTATGCGTATTATACGGTGTTCCAACTTCATTTACCTCTCATGCATCCACCAGTGACGTGAACACATCAAAGGACTGAACAGTGATGGGGGACAATAGCCCTAATTAAAGGAAATATGAAGGGGTGACACATCGTGGGAAGTAGACCTTATATACATATAAATGATATAGTACAGTTTCTGACAACAGTCTGTGTGTGCACAAGACCCTTTTACCCCGTCATGTCCCTGGTAGAGAATCGCCTCTGCAGGCTTCTCACACCTGTCTACACCAAAACGTGTGGGGCTTGATGTGATTATAGACTCCGTTTTGTTTCTGTCGTGCTGTTTTGAACAGTTTTGCTTTTGTTCTAAAGTGCAGACCAGATGCAGGTGACTAAAAGGCAAGAAGCAAATTACTGAGAGACAGAGAGAGACACATGGGTAAACCCTGATGTTGGAGTTGGGACAGAGGATTGGCACAAGTGTCACAGAGGTCTAACATTGGGAGTATGGGAGCAGGTTGGGATGGAGATGGCAGGAGTCTGGGTCTGTCAGGCTGAAGGTAAAAAAATAAATAAAAAAACACAGGTGTCATCCAATTTGGTCTTCTCCTGTGTCACTGATCCAGCTCCAGTCACTCCCTGGACTGGTAGAAGAGGATGTATCCCGACTCAGAGTTCTTCGAGATGTCTGAGGTAAGCCCATAAAACTCCTCGATGGCCTGGGCGTCAATTTTCTGCAAAACACAAGTAAGATGCTGTTTACTGATAGTACAAACAATAGCAACTGTACAGATGAGTCAAGGAACATCAAGCAGGGCAGAACAGAACAGGCTGAAAGTGACGCACCTCTACAATGTCATCATCGAATAACAGCCAGAAGCCGTGACTCTTCACTATGGTGATGTAATGACCTCTATTGGGGCCACTGAGGAAACAGAGACAAACAGTCACTCGCGATTGTACAGATGATGCAATATCAAAGCTCCCACGTTGTACTCCATCCATCTTGGCTTCTTGTAGTAGCTGCTGAAGTCATTTGTACAGAAATGCAGAGTTTGCCACAAAAATACCTGTTTGATGTGTCTCAATGCGTGCCCTTCCATCCTTACACTTGTATTATGAGTGCATAAGTGCATTCACACTGGAAGGTAATCCCATAACGGTCGTACCCAAATACTGGACACTTTTCACCCTCAGCGGTCGCCATCTCTGCTATGTAGCGGAAGTGGAGGGAAGCTGCAGCGGTTGCGATCGTAAAAGTACCTTCACTTTTAATAAAATTTAATTGAAGTCCGGTGAGCAAACAAGCAGGCAGATATTTTGGTGACAATCAAGGCCAAAGATGGTGAAAATGATCCAGAATATGAATATGCAAATAATTATAACTAATCTGATCAGTCTGAAGACATTTATTCTAGTACCTGACACAATAACACATTTTATGTTCAGTTGATATCAAGTGTGCATATTGTAGCGCATAGTGAGATCTTTTATTTTGGGCTGGTAATCAGTATACTGTACCTGCCACAGTGAACCACCACAGCCACCAAATCGTACATGCGGTCCAGGTTAACTGCATCCCCGGACGTGTTGAACAGGCGGAGTTCTAGGGGGAAAACTACTCGATAGGACAGCTTGGTGTAGCGGTGCAGCTGCTCCATGTACTTGAACCTCTTGAGGTGTAGTGCCAGGATCATGGGAAGCTTCTTCACACGCATCCTGCAGAGAAGAATACATGCTCAGAGATGTGTGTTCGTGCAGAAGGACACATCACACTGGTATTAAGCTCTGTGCTTTACTGACCGCTTCTGTGCTTCCTGCTTGCTGCAGCATGTCTCACAGTAGTATTTGTATTCACTGCACAAAGTCTCTGTGTTGCTGAAGTCCCTGGAGGGGTAGAGCATGCCACGGGAGGATTGGTTATTCAGTCTCACTCAGACCAAAAGGGAATTCTGTCAGCCTTTTAGCCCTGACTGAATATATAATAAGTCGATACTACCTGAGACAGTGTGTTATTGATGTGTTCTGCTCCACATCCACAGAAAGATCCAGAAAATCTTCATCTTTGCTGCTCACCTGTAAAGAAGAGACAGACACTGAGGTAACTAAACTGCCATTTTATGTCGTTATGAGGATAAGCCTGCTGTGCCGTGGCACATCGCCCACCCGCTCACACCTACACCTACACACCACACACACAGCCAGTCTTTGAAATGCTTATTATACTGAGTAGCTTTTGTGAAGCGCCTTGGTGTTTGCAGGGGTTGTGCAGGGCAACCTGTCCCACTCTTTGCCCTCAAAACTCTGAGGACAAAGCCTCTGCCAGCCCTGACGTAAAGTGGGTGGCCGGAGCCCACCGGGTGTGCTCGCTGAATCTTTTTCTCTCATCTCTCATCTGCAAAAGGCTAATCCCTTTTCACACTCATTCAAGACAGATCTCTTATTCAAGGTGACACGGGGACTTGCAGAGCCGTGCACACATAACATAAAACACACTACCCCTCTGATAAAACTCAACAGACAAAGAAAGCAGAGCCACACACCGTTTCACAGTTGAGGCAGCGTGTCTCATTGGTCAGTGTGCCTTGGAAGATGTCGTGAACCCATGTTGGCTCTGTCTTGTTCTCCGTCTCGGTCTCCGTGGTGACGGCGGTGCCGTTGTTCTTGAGGCGTCCGTTCTGCTTTTCCTGCTTCTTCTCCTCTTGCAGGATGTCGGCCACTGTGTTCAGCAGGTAGTTGAGGAATTCGTGGGCATCCTGTTGCATGTAGTTGTCGAACAGATCTGGAAGGAGATGCAGAGGGTGATAATTCATAGAGGTGTAATTAATCACAGTAATGACTGCTGGATCACGGACACACCATCATTACTGCCATCATTACTGTGATTAGTTACACCTGTGCTTTTCCCGCTATAACAGATTTCTACTGAGAATTTCTGTCTTGAGAAAGGTCCACTGTGAATCATGTAAATAAAATCAGCAGGCCAAACAGATAATACCAACATACACACTTCTGCTGCTTTGACAGATCTGTATGTGAAAGCTGAAATCTGAGAAGAGGGGGATCGAGGGGGGGGCGCGAAAGAGAGAGCAGAGGGAAAAAGTACAGAGAGAGAGGCAGCTGACCAAAGCTGGGTCCCAACAGAGATCGCATTGTTCGTTCACATAAAGAGCTTCCTCAATATGGACAGCAGGGAACAGTCAGCCTCTCTGTCAGTGCTACTGAATGACCTTACCTTCAACACACACCTGCCCTTCACCTCTAATATTCAGGCCACATTAAAGCAAACACTGCTACAGACTCACAACACAAACCCACAAATCTCCACTCTGATTGTTTATGAACATGTAATGTGGAGAGGAGAGCTCTGTGGCTTTGGCTAAAAGACTACAAAATAGGAAAGGCTGCTATAGTAGCAACATGTAGCAGTAACATGTAATGTTTACTGACATTTTGATTTATTATACTTTTACACTTTATAATTTTTTAGGCATTTAAGATAATCCACATTGGGGACAGCATTATTTAGATGTTTTTCATGGGACACAATTTAAGTTATATTTGCAAGAAAACCACAGGCGTAACCAAGAATTAATTAATGATGGCTGTGTTCCATTAGTAAGCCAGTAAGCCATACCAGGGAACATATCGTTAATGCTATTAATTATGCCTGTGCTTCTCCTTCCATGACATGTCAAAATGTCTGCTGTGTCCTTGGTAGTGATTTAGTGAGCATTATAGCCTCTTTTAAATACCTCCTTTAAACAACTTTTTATCTTATGGCTTTATCTTATCTGACGGTAATTTGTTGGCATTAGCATTTTATCTAATTTCAGATTTTCTTTTCATTTTTATTCCTTTTTTGCTATAAAGCACATTGTAATTTTGTTACTATATAAATGGTTTCCCATTATAAACCACACATTAGATAAAGTTTATACAAGACAAGGGAAACACATTCATTCTCTCTGTGATTATGGACATTTGCCAAAACCGCTGCCAGATTATGGTGCTTTGATAGCAGCAAAAAATATAAATAAATAAATACTTTGATAGCGGTGTTGAAATAGATCTCAGTCATGGCAGCAACAGTCACATAATCACTTTCTCTTTAGTGGTTTTGCCTACAAAATAAAAGCGTGAGAAGCTTGTTTACTGTAATGCAGTATTTAGATTTGAACTGAGCTTTTACTTTGAAAAATTCTCAACGACATCATCTCAACAAGAATCTGTGGCCTGCTAGACACACCTCTGAAAGCGCTGTCAGAAAACACGATTCCTCTAAATGTCCTCTGCCTGGAGATACTCGGGAAATGCAAAAGCGTCCGTAGGTTGATGGATGTGGATCAAACATTGAAACACAAACAGTGCAGCACATTCCGTGATCTGAGAAACATTTGCTGCAGAGTCCATTTGTTGAAGAGAGAAAAAAAAAAAGAGTTGCCTATAGGTGAGATCAAACATTCAACCGTTGGGTTGTGAGTCTTGCACCTTAACGACTTAGCTAACCAAACAACATACTGATGTAAGTCAATATTATGTCTTATATTCTCATCCACGATCGAATGGTTGAAAATATTGCTCCAATGCAAAACTTATTTGCCGACCCCTGCTGTATATTATTACTACTTCTTCTTCTTCTTCTACTTCTAACATACGTTTTCAACATAGTGATGAGGGTCTGCACTGCCTGAATTCTACCAGAAGTAGAACAAGAAGAACGTAGTGACGAATCTGTTTGTCCGTTTTCAGCTACTGTAGAAACATGGCGATGCAAGGTGCCGAAGTCCATGGAAGGGGGTGCCCACTGTTATATAGATATAAATGGCTCATACTAAGGTAATAAAAACATAATGGTTTATTACGTAAGGTCTTTACACACAACTGAAAACAGTTATGGATCTTATATTACATTTCTGTTGATAGATCCTCAGAAATATTACACACTGAACTTTTAAACAAGATTTACTATTCATGTCTTTTACTGCAGGAGGTATGGGCTCTCACCGTTCTCTTTCCGTAGCCGCGAGATGAACTTCTTGGGCGGGATGACGCCCACTTTTTTCTTCTGTGTGGCAATGGAGTGGAAGAGGTCGGCCAGACATGTGAGCAGGTTCTCCTTCTTCTTCTGCTGGGCTTTGTAAGCCAGCACGTTCTCCCGGAAAGGCCGGCAGAAGTAGAGGGCCTGGAGCACTGAGTTACAGTAACATGTGTTTCCAAACTGAGGAAGGAAGGGACAGGGGCACATGAATAATGATGAGGACAAAAAGGGTCTCAGTCCATATTTCTTTTTAAAATTTTCTGGTGCATTTACTGGTGGATGCGCTTAATTGTTTTTCTCCATTTGGCATCTAGGGTTTTTAGAAACTGGAGTGTTTATGTGAATGCCAAATTAAGGAAACGGAACATCCCTACTGAGCCAACAGACTCACAAACAACACTGTCACCTTCAATAATAGCTGTCCAGTAGAGGACATGTTTGGAAATATGACACCAATGTTTTTTGGCAATGGTGTTTGTTAATGTATGAGAGGATTTAGAGATACTCACGTTGACCAATCCGAAGTAGTGTTCATTGATTGGGAATTGCTCCGGGCCGATGTCTTTCTCCAGAGCAGAGGCATTGGTGCCCTGAAAGACCAGAGACAAAAACACGGGACATGAAAATGTGTTGGGGTTTTTTTGGTTGTCGTCCCATAGAACACAGTTTACTCACATGTATTATGGAGAGTTACAAAACTTAAAGGAAAGCCTGCTTTGTTTAGTCTAGTTTAGTATAAAGACAAATGAATATGGAAATGTTGTATATTCAGGGAGCACAACAGGCTAATGAGGGTTTAAAGCCGTAGCTAAGAGATAAAACAAAATTAGAGGCCTCTCTTTCATACAGTGTAATTGATAAATGATCCTTTCTGTATCAGTTTCCCACAGAATGTTGTAGCTCATCTTGATAACGTTTCTTGCCAAAAAAAAATAACTCAAGGAAACATCCTGTCGAAGTAGAAAAAGGATATGGTCTAAATACGTAGACCTGTGTCAAAAGTCAGGCATATTTTGAGCCTGATTGCTGACTGAAACAGACCACTTATCTCTTGTCAGAGCCGTTCCACTTGTCAGAGCTCAAAGCTTTCCTAAATGAACCACAGCTTTGTTGAGCGAACACAAGACAGTCGAGTTTGGGGAAGGCTTTGACTTTCAGTGCCTGTCATTTCTCTCTGTCACAGCAGACAGTGAAGAGCCTTCTTTGTCTGATTTACCGCTTCCAGTCTGAGATGCAGCAACACACATGCAGGCACAAGTCCATCACACTGTGTACGTTCGTACACACACACACACACACACACACACACACACACACACACACACTTTCCTTGTAGGATATCTTATAACGCAAACATTGGCCTTAAAACAGGAGAGAAAATATTGAGAAAAACTAGTGATAACAATATTCCACTAGTGGACCTGAAAGTCCATTCAAATCTACACAAAACATTTGTGTGAGAAAGTTGGAAGAGGCATGCAATCTGACACCTGCTGCCACATTTTGACATTTGAGCCATCATTATAAAATCGCAGGCAGCGGCATCATTTATTTAAAAGGAGGAAAAAGGACTTTATCCTTGATTGTCTCAAAGAAAAGAATTAGGAGAACCTGAGCTGTGACAGATGTGTTGGCTGAGCAGAGGATTCTGTCAAGAGTCATAACACCCACACACTGTCGTCACTTGCTTTCTATTGTTATTGTTGTCTGTCGTAGGAAACTTTAACAGCCTCACCTTTTGTCAAAAGTTTATTTATTATCCATGTGCTTTTAAAAGTCCTTGACCAACATATTGTTAATTACAGATTACACAAACAGTGTCCTAGTGGCCTCAATACCAAAAGAAAAAACAACTTGATTGTTTTTTTTTTTAACTTTCTCAGTCTTTATCTTGTACAAGTCTAGAAAATCTATGTAACCGTGGAACTTTCCTCTTAACTACCTTTAAGGACAAGCAGTGTATTAAAGCAAGTATCTCTTTACTTTGCTCCTGACAACATATATACATCAGTTTATGTGCCTGCAGGCACATTTTTTTCACTTGAAACCAACAAACTGTTTTACACTTAGGAGGCGTTTTGTAAGATGTGATGCACAACGGTGGAACACAGTTTATTGCATTAAACATCAGTTTGATCATTTTGCATTGTCATATATTGTCATATGAATATCTGGTGTTTTTTCAGTCTTCTGTGATAGTAAACGGAATATCTGTTTTGGACTGCTAGTTAAATAAAACAAGCTTTCCTAATCACCCTGGGCTGTGGGAGATTCTAAGTAATTTTTTTCACTATTTCCTGACATTTTATAAACAATACAATTCATTAGAGCTTTGATGATTAAAGGAATAGTTGCCAACTATTAAATTAATTGCCAGATATTTTGATTATCATAATTATTTGACAAAATTCTCTAATTCCAGCTTCTTAAGTGTGAATATTTACTAGTTTCTTTGCTACTCTGTAAAGGTATATCTTTGGGTTGTGGACAAAACAATACATCTGAGGACGTCATCTTGGGCTTTGGGAAACACTGAACATTATTCACAATTTATAGATGAAACTACAAAATGATTAATCAAGAAAATAATCAACAGATTAAAAAGACAATTAAAACAATAGTTAGTTGCAGCCATACGATTAATCAATAAATAATTGGCAGATTAAATGAAAATATTGAATGGTACAGCCCCAACTGGGAAAAAATTAATATCAATGTTGTGATTGCAGAGAAGTTTACATATTGTACAACCAGGCACTGGCTCAGGGGATAAAAACACTGTCTTTTCAGTTACACGACTGCTTGTATTTACTGTTTTGACACCAAACCACCTACCAACAACTTGTGCACCCAACTGAGCCCATTTAAACTTGACTTGTCTTTAGCAGCGCTGTAACACTTGAGGTCTATCTCTAGTATGTCTGTGAAACTCACAACATACACATATATAACTTGTTCTGCATGGGATACTGTTCAGTAATAACTCAGTGTACTGGGTGTACACGCCAGCAACACTCTGAGGAGACTGCAGGCTTTTGACATTGGTTTCCAGTCTAAAGGATGTAACCAGCCCGCTGCAGCAGCACATTATGCAATCCCAACAAGCTGTCACAGGCAGTGCGCTGCTTCATTCACCGGTCAATCATCGGTGACAGCTACACAAACAGCACACTGTGTCGTCTCGCCAGGCTGCAACACACAACATGAACCCCACTAATACGGAGCAGTGTGTCAAGGACTACACAAATTTAGAACTAGATTTGGGATAAAGGCCTGTCTGAACACCGAGACCTGATAAAGGGGATATCCTATTAGTAGTGACCGCCGCTGCATTCACTGTGCATCCTTGCTCTAAAGAGCCATCCCCCTGCACAGTGTGTGTGCGCATCACTACACGCCAGGTCCCTCACAGTGGCTGCAGGCAAATCGATAGCAACACACACGCACAGATCCAGCAAGATACTCACCATATTACAGATGGAGGCGATGTTTCTGACAGTCATTTAGTTTACAGTGTCCCTCTCACCGCCATCTTTATAAAATAAACATGATTTAAGAGCAAGGCGAGGCTGAGAAATGAAGTTAATTCGCAGCCGCGGCCGCTGGAGGCCAGACTGCAAACCCCCAAGCGTCAGAAAGCAGCAGGCAGAGAGACACGGAGCACCGTGCAGCCAGCACGGAGCTGAGCGTCAAACCGCACTCAGCGTCCACACGGCTTCATCCTCGCGCACATTTCACACACACCACAGCTGGAAACCGTCAGTGCACGAGTAGACTGTGGACAGGCGAAGTTGCAGGCAGCAGGTTGTTAGCAACGACCAGGAAACAAGCGTGATGAGCGAGGAAGCGCAGCGGCTCCGCCCACGCGCGATGGACTCCGCAGTTCATTGGTTCAGATTTACTCAGTTTGATTGACAGGATCGCAAAGCCAAACACAGACCCGGATGACGAAGCTTAGGTGAGCTGCAACCAATCAACAGCAAGTGTTGGACACAATGGTGTGAGGGAGTTGTAGTTCATGTTTGGGATGCATTTAAAGAGACTACGCTTGATATAATCACCAAAGATACTCTTCATTAATTTATACTAATTAAATGAAATTTTACTAATTGATTAATTTAGACTATGCAATTGATTAGTCTATAAATAAACTGATAAATTTAGTCTATACGATGTTTATACTTATAAGAATCGGTGGAGCCCTTTAATCCTTAGAGACAAGCGTTGACACTCAAGATGGTGTTTGTCATTGTTCTTGGCATTTTGTTGACTAAATAACTAATCATTTAATGGTAGGTATTCTGCACTCAAACCACCAATTCAATTAGCTGACCATAACGAACAGAGGGGGAGCATAAAAAGGTAAGTGTCCTCTATGTAGGGCTCTGCAGGAGTGCCGGGCCCCTCAGGACACTCTCATTCACCACTGGCTTTGTTTGTGCTTTCACAACAATCCCCCGGCAATTATCTCCTTAGCAATTTACATGTGAACAAAACGAAAGGAAAACAACAAATAATTATGATTCTTCTTGACTTCAAAAGGAACGGGAAAGGAGAGAGGAATAGAAGTATTCACAGACAAACAAGCAACAGAGTGACAGGGTTGTCAGTTGCGTGGAGGATGGAGAGTTTCATTGTTCATCAGATGTTTGGTATGCACCGCGAGTTTAATGATGAAAATGTGCTGATTGACGTGTAATCATAGATTTGTTTATGAATACTTGTGATTGACAACGGAAACAATTACATGTGGTGGTAGCTTGTGGGCTCTCAGCACAAAATGTTCCCAGACTTAATTTCTATTTCAGTCCAGTCTGTATTAATAGGATTGAGGGGCACTGAGGGGGCAGCTGATCCTTTTCCTGACTCCTACTGCTTTTATTGTCATTATTGCTGCTCTTCGTGTGCTTACTGAAGGATATGTGGATATGGATAATGTGCTCACTGTGAAAAAAAAAAAAAAGTAGGCATGAAAACAGCTCCAGTTCTGTGCATCTGATGATCTGTTCCCAGCTTGTTGACCAGATAACATCTTTCTTTTCAGGCTGTGCAGGTCAGCTTATGTGTTGACACAGAGCTTTAGTGTTTCTTTGGCGTTTTAATCTCTCTCATCCACTATGTGGTTGCCACCTCATGTTTGGATGAAGCTGACAGGACTTTTGTATCCACAACAAGTTTTTTTTCATCAGGTGGCAGGTGAACCTCAGAGGACCTTCTCTGCTGGCTTCGGTTGAGATCAGCAGCTGAAAGTTGGGATTTTCATGTGGGTGCACGTGCACTACACACGGACCGACAAAGCCACACAGAGAAAAAAAAAATATTGAGCTCAGAAAATGTTTCCATTAAACGAGGCTTAAAGCACTGATGACCTTCCTCTCATTCAGTATGCTACAAAGAGAGGCTAAATTAATTATGCATCATTTCTGTGCCGACAAGTAAATAATCCTCCAGTTTAGAATCTGTGATTTATTGCAGCCTGCTGACATTTGGCACAGGAGTCTGAAACATCAAAGTTAGGAACAGTCTATTAAGATGATTTTATAAGAGTTAACTTGCAACACAGACGCTTTTCTTTTTCTAGGTATCAGAGGTGGTATACGTCCCAGGGACTCTGTGATGGCTGCAAATAAAAAATCAGTCACAACCCAAATCTTGACATTTTTAATGATATTATTTTCTTAACAAGTTACATTATTTGATGCAATGCTGTATAATATACACTTTTACTTAAAAACATGTAAACTAATAATTACAGTCCCTATTTTTTTGTGCATTATTCAAAACTAAGTTTTTTGTGGGTATAGAAACAGACAGTACACAGTAGTATGATGTGACACAGGCTTTGCCACACAACCCACTGAGTCCCTTTCCCTTTATCTTCTTTATTGGTTGCTTTTAAAACTGAAACAAGGGTCTTTTTCTGTGGGGAATTTCAAAGAGAGAGGCAGGTTCTAGTGTGTGTGTGTGCCTGATGAATTGTATCAAGAGCATGAAGAAGCCTTTGTCCAATTTATTATCTAGTAAGGTTTCTTAGAACAAAGGGGTCATAGTTGGTGAATGATGTATTGGGTGAGCTGAAATAATCTTATAGTATAAATATAATAGCACTCTGGGGAAAACCATATTGTATTAAAAAAACCTGTGTGTGGTCATTAAAGCAGATTTGTTGAAAGTAGAACACTTCCTCTTTTCATTTGGAAAAGTCTGTACACGTCAGAGTCATTACCACAGGCCTCCAGCACGTAGATGCTCTGCATAATGAAACTTTATTGGTATCTTGACCTCTAATCATGATTAACTTGTCCAATCAGACGAGACCTCATGTTAGAGTTCGCCTCACACAGCACTCATTGGGCTCCCTGAACACTGGAACCTACTAGAATAAACGCTGCCTGTGTTATATCAAGGCGAGAAGAAAAACAATGAGAACTTGGCCAGACCAGCAAGAACAGCACGGAGAAGAAGGGGGATGAATTATTAGTTGCACACACAAGCTTTGGAGCGCTTATTGGCTTTTGGTACACTATGTTCCAAACAGACTCATCTGAACTTTAGTTTACATGTACAATGCCCCTGCTTCTATAAACAGAGGAACGAGGCATGTGGGGTACTGGCACTCAGTGCTCTGAGGATGCACAACAGGCTCACCATTGCACATTGACACATTGGCATGCTGGATGTTTGTTTTCTTTGTGGCTGGGCACAAAACACAGACACTTAATACAAGGAAAGGCATCTAATGTGATAAATGACACAAGTAAACACACAGAAACTACATGCTCATTACTGATTATTCTATTATTTTCAGATTAGTCGATTCATTGTTTAGTGTATAAAAAGGTCAGAAACTACAGAGCATATAAAAAGTTTTCACCCCCTTGGAAGTTTCCATGCTTTATTGTCTTACAACATTCAAAGTAGATTTAATGTGGCTATTGGCACGGAAAAACAGGACAATACCCATTGTGACTAAGTGATCTATATTAATTACAAATATAAAATACTTGTTGGTATTAGAAGTATAGAAGTATTCACCCACTCCAAGTTTTTGGCAACAAACACAGCCTTGAGTCAGTTTTGCACATCTGGACAACTTCCCCCCCATTCTTCTCTGAAAACCTGCTCAAGCTGGATGGGGATTGGGCAATCTGACACTGGCTTTAAATATCTTTTGATTCAATGTTATAAAACAATAAAATGTGAAAACTTCCTAGAGCCCAAACTGATTTCAGTCAAAAAAACAGAATGTTTTTAGTTTACAATGACATTACAAACAGAGACAAAACAGTTTGAGAAGGTGGAACCAGTTGATGTTTGACATTTTCTCTTGATAAATGACTTAATTCATTCACTTTATGTAACTCAAGATGGCAACATGGATGGCTGAATCCACTTTACTCTCTAGTGCTTTGTAATGTTGCAGACTGTAAGCTGGACAAAGATGTGTTCTCTCTTTCTTAGTTGAGAACTGTTTGAAGATGCCCCTATATCAGCTTCAGAAGAGCCACAACCCTTAATGACAAACGTGTAAAGAGCCAGCCAACCAGAGCAGGTAACCAAGGTAAGTGTGGGCATTGCGGTCATTGTAGTAATATGACTAATACTAATATTTTTACTGACATAAAATCAGGATGTAAATATAACATGAAATCATCTATAAATTGCAATACCTCATGTGTGGTTTGCAGACTTGAGTGTCCATGTGGCTGTTTTCATCTTGGGAGAACAAAGCTTAAAATGAAGACAAGACTGGCTGAACATAAATATACTATAAGAACTGGCAACCCCCCAAAACCCCCATGGCTCTACATTAGAGAGAGGCTGACCACAGCCGTTGCAATTTGTTAAGGATATCAGGAATAGACTATTTAGAAAGCTCAATAAGGGGTGAAGACAGATTAAAAAGGCTCTTGCAAAGAAAATGATTTTGAATATATACATTGAAAGCTACCATATACCACAGTTTAATGGCGAAATGTTTTCCTAGGCATGTGCTGCCTTTGCCTGTCTGTACTGAAAATGAAGAGGTTTTAAGATGCTTTGTATATATTTATCTATTTGTAGTTGTTTTGCCCTTACCCTATGTGAGATGTGTGGTGTGTGATTTCCTCTGCTGAACATGGTCTGTAATGTGACTTTACCTGTCAACACTAATCATGTGATTACTTGCCAGAATATATAAGAAACAGCATTTTGTATTTGCCCTGAAGAAAGCCTTAATGGCTGAAATGCGTAGGCATGTGTTTAACTGTCACTAGAACTATAAATAGCCATGAGATATTAAAGGCTTTTCAAATCATTACCCACTTGAGTGCCTCAGATTTCTTCAACAATCCTAAACTGGTAGGATCCCCAAACTGAATAGCACCCAAGCAGCCCTCTATCCAAACTGGCATGTGTTCTTTCTTTCACTGAAGATGTGATCCACCTGCATATACTGTCCATAATCCACTGCATGCACATAAAGAACTTATAACTTAGATATGTACAGTTTTTGCCATTTTTAATCACATAGTTGTCTGCCCATAATAGACATAGGTTTATGTCAGCTTATCTCTGTTAGCTTGCGTTCCTTGTTTAAGAATTATTTCTTCTGTATGTGTATCTTCCTTTACATTTTTATGTAAATACATTGAGAGACACTGGAAATCAGCCAGAACTGATTGTGATTATGAAGAATTCAAATTTACATTAGAAACTCAAACAATACATTTTACAACAACAAAATCCCCCAAATAAAAATGCACACATTTAGAAGTGTTCATTCAGGTGACGACCCTGTTCTCTGCTCAACCACCCCAAAATGCACCTGTTTGGCTCCACAACCACTTTCACTCAGTAAAAGAC